CCTGCCTCCGCCTTCCCGAGCCGCCTGGCTTCCCTGTCCTCACGGTGCTGCTCAGCAACGCCAGGCTCTTCGCGTGGGCTGAGGAAATTGGTATGTCTCGCTGGGAAAAGATGAGCGTGATTTACTTATTTTTCTTTCCCTGCTAGGGTGAGACCACGGATTTTGAGTTGTTGAAGCATCAGCTGTCAGACCCGGACATAAAGGTGAGAGTTGTGGTGGTAAGCGGTCTGAGGATTTAAAGTTCGGCTGTCTGACTGTAGTCATTACGTGAGTCATTCCGGTGCTCGCCCAAACCCATTGCTTTAAACAGCTAGCTGCATTTGTCAGCTTTTTGCTTCGTGGAAACAACCAGAATTAAAATTCTAAATGAGAGAAAAAAAAAAAACCCAACAATTGTCTGTTTACACACATACGTGTCTTATATGCAGGATCTTGATAAATGATGTCTCATGCTCACCGACTGACTCTTAGCAAAAGGTTTCTCACTCTAGAGCAGTGTGACAGCATCTGTCTTTGTTCCAGATACCATCTTTCTAGGTCACTGATGCTTGTTTGTAGATGCTGCTGTAGATCAAACCATGGTTTCTGACTTTTAAAGCCTTTAAGTTCCATGAATTTTGCCATCTCCTCACTAAAAACTTGTGTAAATAGGCAGTAAGTAAGATATATATGCGTTTAGTAGTCATACCCAGAAGTATTGTTTCTCCGCTCTTCTGTATAGCTGTGAGTACTCACAATTGCTGTGGCCTTTTTTTTTTTTTTTTTCCCTTCTTCCCTCCCTTTTAATTAAACCACAAAGCTGTGAGAAGAACGCTGCAGGAAGCATAATGCTGTATGGAGGCTCTTTTCTCTTTAAAGAGGACATTTGGTAAAATACTTTGGTTTTAGCAGGCCTTTTAGAGCATACAGGGAAAATCAGTGTAAAATTTTCTGTGTCAATTTGCTACTGTTCAGTATCTCTCTTATTTCAAGGCTTGAATGTCTCTTCTGCTTAAACTGGGGCAAAAAGAAAAGAAAATTAAGACTGAATGCCATTTCTTTTAAGTATGTTCTGTGTGAGTGAGGTCTGCATGCCTTGCTCAGTCTGTAAGTTAAGGCTTCCAGGCAGACTGTTGGTTTAGGAGCTGGTATGCATTTGTTCTATTTAGAAGCGTTTGTTGGTGAGGACACAAACTTAAAGAAATTACTTGCGTGTAAATGTGAAAATAATGTCTATTTACAATCTTACTCTTTGACTTTTAAGGATTTTGTTACTTTCTAGTAATAGGTAATACTGTTTATTGGAATAGTTCTCTGCTTTTTTCTGCTTATTTTAAGGATGCCCAGATCATTAATTGGCTGCATGAATTTCGAGCGTCTGTTGCATATTTGACCAAAGAGCTTGAACAACTGGTCAGCATTTTGCTGGTAAATATCCACTTGTTACATGGGAAGATTAAAGAGTTTAGGACTCAAAGCTTCTATCTTTGACAGCTTGGTCTGGGTGTACTTTCAGAAGCTGCCATGGTTGAGAAGAAGCCGAGAGGTAGTGGAAGAATATCTGGGTTTTCTTGGCAACTTAGTGTCAGCACAAACTGTCCATCTTAGGCCATGCCTCCGAATGATTGTATCCCAGTTTGTCCCCCGTAAGTTACTTTAATCTTAATCTTCTTTGTTTGCCTATCAAAATGCTTTTCTTAGATAAATTCTGTATAAATCCAATGCGTGACACAATTCATTATTGGGTTGGGTTTATTTTCCTCTTGATTACTTTCTCCACTTGAATAGCTGAATTGTAATACAGATAGTTTTCTGTACCTAGATTTTAGGAGACATATTCTAGTGGCTAATACAGACCCTGTTTATGAAGATGTCTTGGAACGGGATGAACTGCATAATGTTACTGCTAAAACTAAAAACTGCAGTGAGGATCATGTCAGATGTTCTCAAGAACCTCCTGGTTCTGTGAATGAAACAGTCTTTTTGACGAGCTTCTCCTTGTTTTAGAAAGTCTTGTGGATAATTTTGATGCTTTAGTCCTGATGAAGACTGTCCAGTGTGTTTGATTTGACATTGAAACTGTTACCTGTAAAATTTTTACAATTTTGATATAATAATCTCACTTTTTGCTAGCTCGAATAACCATCAGAGAAGATGATGTGGATATTTCAGACTCTGATGATGATGATGAAAGTGAGTAGAAAGGAAGCATGGCTTATATATGCTGCTGTAATACCTTTACTAAAGAAGTATACAGTGGATGTTGTTCCTTTTTTATAGAAGTAACTCAGCTGAGTTAATGTAAAACATTAAGAAACAGTATATCCTTAAATTCCCGAGGCAAAGACTTTATTGTACTGGAACCAGCAGTGTGGTGACCCACTCCTTGTTACTTTCGAAGTATTCCTGTTGGTGCAGTGTCTGTAGGTGGCATAAGACTGAATGCATAGGAAAATGCTCCTACTCCTACATTGTTTCAAAGCCAAAGAAAAGTTAGGAGTTGTTTGTTGTCCATTTTATTTACCTCACTAAAACTAGATAATTTGGGGGATTCTGGAGTTTTTTGTTGTCTGCCTGTGGTAAGCTCAAATACAACTGATATTTATAACAAAAAAGCAGCATAATTAGTGTGTTTATTGATAAGGCAAAGAGACAGCTAAATGTTTTTCAAGAATTTCATATTTTCTTGTCTTGAATGCTAGAATAAATTTCAGTTCTGCTTGTGATGACCCGACTACTCTTCTGCTGTTCGCTTGTGATGCTGTTTGGATTAAAAAAAAAGCCTGCTATATAAGCCTAATTAGCTGTTTGTTTGAGTCTTGTGAAAATGAGGCCTAATCCTTCAATAAATTTTATCTAGTTACAAACTTGGATTTAATGTATCTGCTAAATATTTGTGTGTTGTGGGATAAACTTTGGATGTTCCAGTTTAGCGTTCAGTATGAGATTGTATAACAACAATACCTGGCCTTGGGGCTGACGGCACATTCAGAGTTTGTTGGTTGTGATGCTGTGACTTATTTGGAATTATTTTTCATGCTTGTTTTGGTAGTAAGGCAGTTCAACTTAACCAAACAAACAAAAAACCAAACAAACCACAACCCTCCAAAAAAAAAAAAATCCCCACATTTTGGCAGATGTAATTTCCTTGGGAATCTTCAAAATGTTTAGTTGATATGAACTGTTTTTTCTGGTTCCTGATTTAGTTTTCTGTAACCAAATGCATGAGTACTTTTTTCTTTCTCTAGACCTCTCCAAAAACTTTAATACATGCCATAGAGCATTGCAAACTGTTGCAAGATATGTTCCTTCGTAAGTATGTGATCCCATGGTTTTGTATGCCCTTTCCTTACAGATTTAAAGCTTGTGAACTGATGAATTTATTTTCTTTTCTCTTAATTGGAAGTATAATACTTATTTTCATTGCATGATTTTTCCTAATATTCACTAATTGGTGGAATGCCGTATCCAATGATTGTGAAATTTCCATAGGCATCTGCAGCTGAAAATCCTGTTAATGGGAATAGGAAATAGGGGAAGTTGTGTTTGTAGCAGGGTCTTTGAAGTGGTTTCTAACAAGTCCACAGTCAAAGTTTGCCACTTATTATCTGTCCAGTGGTCCTTGCAAAAGCAGATTTTATACAATTACTTACCTTAAAATAAAGCTACTGTGACTTAAGCTTATTCCAGTCTGTGTTTAGAGTGCTGGAGCTTCAACACTTGCTCTCGTGGTAATAACCTGTAACTTTTGGGTTTGGTTTTGTTGTTTAGTTTTTGTTTTTAAATTGTAGGACACCACAATTTCTCATGCCCATACTTGTGGAAAACTTTCCTTTCATTAATAAATCAGAAAGAACTCTGGTAAGAGCTGTGAATATTTTTATATTCTTTTAATGTATAAATATACTCTATAGTATGACAACTGATTTGGTGGTGTTGAATGCAGATTTTTGAGTGTATTGTTTAAGATTATTGTTATTTTTATATATATATACACACACACATGTATGTGTATATATATGGGTGTGTCTGTTTAGTATAAGGTTGTCCAAGCATACTTCAGTTCCTTGTGCATAAGCATTATGCTAGTCTTTAATGACATAATTGCATATCTTTTCCACAGGATTGCTTTCTTAATCAATGCACAAGATGGACCTCTTTGACGATGAATCTCAGGGTTGTGTAGTAAGGAGACGGTAGGATACCTGTCTCATTTATTGTCAAAACTGGAAAGTATTTATCAGAAAAAAACGGGGGATTTGATACGCAGACAGAAAGCAATGGACGGTATAGGTGAAATCCAAGTTGCCAGTAGCGTAAGGTGTTAAGTTGGTTTATTACATCTTCGGTACAGTGCTCATGTGTGGTGAAAAACAAGCTGGAGACTTTTGACAGGCTACAGCTCTAGTGTGATTTTTATATTTACTTGTTCCAACTTGATGTGCTGGCACTTCATTTTACAGAAAGGCAGAGCCCTGCTCCACCAGCCACGTTCAGTTCGAGCTGTGTTCTGAACTCATCAAGTGCTGAAAAACCCCTAAAGTTCTTTGCATACCTTGCTAGGTTTTTTAAATTTTTTAATTTTTTTTTTTTTAATCCAAATAACTTTGGCATCGGTTCTCTATCTGTAAAACAAGGGTGATTATAGCTCTTACGTGATGTTAGGGAAATAATTTTTATTTCTTTATAAAGAAATTCATGACACTGTTTTCAGGGCAAGGCTCTACTGAAGCTTAATAGAAATACGGTCCATGCTTGTTGTTAAATATTTCCGATTTATACGTTGTCATTAAACCAGCTCTATCCATTTTATGTACTGAGCGAGCCAGATGGCCTGTGGAAAAATCATATGTGCTCATGTAATTAAAGGTTGTGTTATAATGCATATTCACAAAGAGACTGTGGCGTACTTAAATGTGGTACTTTGCCTAATTTTATCTATTGACTTGACAGTTTTGCTATATGGAAGTTGCAGCGTTGTCGTTTGTACTTATGCGTATATATATGGGTGGGCAAACACACACTCACAGAACTTGTCTGTTAACCTCTTTGAATTATAATCAGAACAACTCTGAGGAGACTTACCTGTGGAATTTAGAATTGTTGTTGGTGTATTATAATAACCTGAAATAAAGATGTACTCGGTCTCACTTGAAACAGTTCTACTAGAGCTGGTTGTAGATGTAGTGAGGAATATACTTTGTGTTTTAATTTTCCTGGAGAAAGTTTAGACATGGGAATTAATAAATTTTCTTATGGAATGTTTATACTTATTCTGTCTAGAGATAATTGGGAAAATTTGCATGGAAATAGTAGATTAAGAAGTTAATGATAACACAGCTTAACAATAGAAAGTTGATATTTAGCTTACACATTAACTTATTCTAGATTGAATACAGTCTGTTTAAACCTGTTTCTGGCTCTTTAGATAACAAATTAAGAAACTTGTTTTCTAAAAATCCTTGGCAGAAATTAGACTTTCTGTTAATATTGTTATAGATATCAATTAATTTTGTGTTACAGGAATGTTATGTTCATAACCTGCTACGAGTTACAGTGTACCTTCCAACTCTGAGGCTTCAAATTCTGGAGCTTATTATTGAAAAGCTGTTAAAGTTGGATGTAAGTTTGTTCTGTATCATCTTTTAAGGAAGCTTGGTGTTAAAATGCACAGAGTAGGAAATTAAATATGCTTCAGTGTTAAGCTCCACAAAAAATATGTTGCAGTAGTGCTCATGATCATGAGTATAAAACCAACGAAATTTACACTCCATTCCCAGTCTTAAGATGTTCCCCCACCTGAGCGTGACTGTGTGATGTGTACTGTTACACCCTGCATGGAATCTCCACACCCGAATCAAAGTAACTGTTTGTGGTGATCGGTGCTGATGTGCAGAGAATGTGTTTCTCTTTGTGTGGCTGATCTGTTTTATCATCCCTTTGAAGTAAAAGGATCTCTTAAAAAAGACAGGAGGGGTAGCATTGTAAGTAATGAAGGCTTTTATTTTGGAAAACCTCAGCATATAACAGTCTGGGGAAAGCTTCTGTTCTGGTGATGAAGTTTCAGGCAGTTTGGAGTGTGTGTTTTGTGTATTACATATATATTGTTCCTTTTTAAAATGTTTATTTAGTCAAGGACAAAATCTAGTGTAGAAATTACTCATCATTTCTTATGTAAATAATAAAAAAAGGTTTCATATTGTCATGGTCTTATAAAAATTAATTTCTTGTTTGAAACTCTAGGTCAGTACTCCACAGCAAGATATTGAAGACGCTGAAGAAACTGCTAATAACTCTGATAGTGAGGAAAAGTCTACAGAGGAGGGACTTTTTGACATGGTTGGCTATCTTCTGCTAAAAGTTTTTTAGTAAAGCTTTCACTTCTGAGGTGGCTATGAATTAAGACAGTGTAGGAGTACCTTCTTGCTCTGTCATTAACTGCACTGCAGACTGAGCTGGTGTAGGAATGCGTTCTTGCTCTGTCGTTACTTCACTGCGCACAGCTCTTGAAACCTGAACAGCAGACAGATGATTAATGTGTTCTCTGGGCATTGACTTTATTCATGCAAATACCCAGTGTACGTGCTGAATCAATTTCATTATGCAAAACCACTAGCAGCTATACATAAAGCTAATTGAAGAATCCATGGTAGTTGGCTTAGTGTAAGCAAACTTTTGTAAACTAAACTGTGTAATTAGATACTGCTTTTTTAAAAAAAAGACAAAACTTTAGCACATCACTGAAAGAGAAATTTAGTTTCACTTTTCCTGTAATTGCTGTGTTCATGATGTTGTGCGTATAACAGCTGCATGACTGCCATTTTACTTACCAGGAGGAAGATGAAGAAAGAAAAGGAAACAAAGTTGTCTCTTCCAGGAGTGAGAGAATGGCCCATCCACTTGCAGAGCGCCTTGATATTTTGATGACCATCCTGTTTTCCTATATTAAAGATGTTTGCCACGTGGATGGTAAGAACGCTTGAACTGTAACTAAATCTGTTGTTTTGCTGACGAGTAAGAAAAAGAGGAGTTCTTGCTTTGCGCTGCTGCAGGATTGAGCCCTCTCCCTTTAGTGGCAGAATTCTGCCCTCAGCAGGCTGTAGTCTGCGTTCCTGCCTCTGCCCAGTGGTGTTGGCAGAGGATGCCAAGGTACACTTCTGACTAAAAATCTGCTCTTCAGTTGGAGACATTTTGTTTATATAAATACGACCCTGTATGTGAGCTGTGACGTTACAGGGTGTAAAGGTAAATAGAGTTTTGTTTTTCCGTTGTGCTACAAAATTTAGGGGATTAGAAATACTTTCTGACTAACCACAGTGCTTTATTGTTTGCTCTGCTGTATTGCTTTGAGTAGTAGAATTATGGATCCTTTAAACATCACAAGGACTGGAAGTAGATTAAAACAACCAGCTGGGTCACTCAATTGGAAGTGCTACAGCAAGGCTTTGTGTTAGAGGAAAAACCTGAAGGACATGTCTTATGCTGGCATTTATTAAGGGTTTGAATTTCTTAGATTTATATATTTAAAACAATATTTAGAAACCATTTTGCTGTATCTTCTTCACATAAATCGGGTAATTTATTTCTTAGTCTTTTTTTTCTGACTCTTCTGAATTCACACATTATTGCAAAGTTTGCATATGTTTTACGCACATGTGCGTGCGCGCACACAGATATTCTCCTTATACACCATGTAAAAAGCAGAAGAACTGAAGTCCTGGGAGGTCTTACTATAAATATTTTTTAGATGCCAGATAAGCCTAGAGGTCAGCTTGACACTGTTTCTTTTCATATTTCTTACTGGTTTAGAAAGATATAAATGCCACTTTTGCAGCATGAAGGCAGGAAAAAAACCTGAAATGGCTCATTTTGTTCTGTTTTCTTTTGTTGTTGTGTAGGCAAGCTTGATATCAACAACACAAAGGATTTGTATCGGGATCTGGTTTCTGTTTTTGACAAGCTCATTTTACCAACTCATGCTTCATGTCATGTGCAGTATTTCATGTTTTACATCTGTAGCTTTAAATTGGTGAGTAGAAGCTGTTTTTTAAAATGCAGTGTCTTCTGTCATTTCTACATCCTTGTTTTGGCTTTTTTTACAAAAAATAGTTGTTTTCTGCTCTAATTCTAGTCTGAAGATAGTACATCAGGATTCATTATCTTTGCTTTATTTCCTTCTCTGTTACTCCTTTTTTTGAAGTTTTTCTTTATGTGGTTGCTCTTCCCATTTTGTTCATAAACTGCAGACAGATGGAGTCTCAGATAGTGTGAAGGAACTTGGTTTAGTGGACCTCTCGGACAAGGCTCACTTAGACTCTTGAGCCAGGAGACACAGTGTTCCAGCAAGTTTCTTCAGCACCCCAAAAACTGTCCTCAAGATACTGTCTGCGTTAGCTCTTCAATTTGAATTTCATGTCTGCTGTTTGTTCCGTCCCCGCCCCCCTGCCATTTTACCATCTCTCTAAAGCCAACTGTTGTTCTTTCTCATACCATATAAAAATAAGAACATCCATACTTTTTGTGTAAGAGTAGCTAAAGATCCAGTTAAGTTAATGCCCTGTCTCTGACAGTGATGAGTACTGCATGTGTTGGAAAGAACATCAGAATGGGGCAAGCCTGTTGTGATGCTTTGCTAGAATATCCTTTCAGCCTCCAGCAGGAGTCTGGTGACTTCCTGAGCCAAATGTTCTCTTGTAGTAACAGTCCATGATGGACAAATTCAAGGAGGAAATATCTTGTGATACTATGCTTTTTGTACTGATGTGAATTTTTGGTGTCATGAACTTCTGTGGCAAGAAGTTCCACAATGTAACCATTTAAGGTGAAGAATCACTTTTGTTTCTTCAACTTCCTGCTGTTTTCCTTGGAAGTTGTTGACCTGTTTTGCTGCAAGAGACAGTGCGCAGTCACTTCATGTTGACCTTCTTACCACTCTTGTTTTTAAACACTTCTTGTGCATCTGTTCCTGACCTTTTCCCAGACTTCTGGTACCATTTACTTTTTACAACTAAGTATAGAAAAAGAAACTGAAAAGAGTGCTCTTCCATCATGTGTAGGAATAGCTATTTACTACAGTTAGAAGTAGATTTTTTTTTTTTTATGGTTTGGTTATGGAAATTGTGGGAATTGAGTAGTAGGAATCTGTTACTTACAGTGTTGCCGGCATAACAGCTCATGATTTCTGTGTATCTTGTTTCCAGGGGTTGGCTGAGGCATTTTTAGACCATCTTTGGAAAAAACTGCATGATCCAAACAATCCTTCCGTGATCAGGCAGACTGCTGGGAGTTATATTGGCAGCTTTTTGGCAAGAGCTAAATTTATTCCAGTTGTGTAAGTTGTTGTGATAAATTGTTTGGTTCTGCTTATACATGAGGATTGCTGAGGTTAAGCACAGAATTCACAGAATGCACGCACAATGCTGGTCTTCTGTTCCCACTGCTTTGCCAGTAAGCCTGTATTAACAGTCTTGTTGGTCCTTTCTACAGTACTCTTTCAGTATTGTCTTGAGGCTTCCAGGAAAGCTTTGCATTGATAGGATGCAGACTAATGGTTGCTGGGATTCGTGACTTGTTTCAGGCTTCACTTACCAAGAAGTGCTGAGCACGGGTAGGTTATGTTGACTTCAGGTGGAGTCATGGATGCCCGGTATATCTGATGTTCACAAGCAGAAAATTTTGATGCCTTGTGTTCGGCATTCTGCGTAGACTCTGAGACAGGGAAGTTGAGTGTTCAAGTACTTTGATACAGATGGATTAAAATACTTAAACAGATGGGTGGAAATGTCTTCTTTTGTGTGTACACATTCTGTATTTTTATGCCATTCTGGCTGGGCTCGGTGGCTTGAATGTTGAACTTAATTTGATATTGCAATTACTTGTTGGACATGGGAGGCATCTCCCTGTACTACCTGTAGCCCAGGATTCTAACTGTTTTTAACTGTGTGTTTCGCACACAGCATACATTCATAGATTAATCTCTTCTGGCATCTTGTGCTTTCACTGATTGGGGTTTCCAGTGCTGGTACATTGATTCATTTGATGCTGAGATAAAGGAGAAAGCTCACAACAATCTCCTTTTTTACAGTGAGATTTTCTTCCTGGTGTTTTTATAACCACTGAGATTCTTGAATACTTGTTTAATATCTTTTCTATGCCATTTCAGATGCTATTTTTACACTTGTTTCTTTTCCTTCATTATAGTACAGTAAAAGCATGTCTGGATCTTCTGGTTAACTGGATGCATAAATACATTGATAATCAGGATACAGGGGCTAATGCCTACTGTGATGTAGCTCTCCACGGGCCATTTTATTCTACATGTCAGGCAGTGTTCTATACACTTATTTTCCGTCATAAACAGCTTTTGGATGGAAACTTAAGGAAAGGTGAGTGTATTAGGTTTGAACGGATTCATTTGCAAGTTTTACTGTGGGTACGATTTGTAATGCTCTGTTCAGTCACGTATCTGATGGCAAGTTTATGTTGTTGTGCTCTAAATAAAATGGGATGGCTTGTACACCTGTTGGGCTACCAAGCCAAATAATCTTGGTTTTCCCTACTGTTGAAAGCAATGTAGATAACTCCTCAACATTGATTTCTGGCCCCACTTACTGAGCATGTTTGAATTCCAGCTGTATAAAACTAGTGTGGGCTTTGATTAATAATCTTTGACTCGGTGCCTCTGTCAGTCCCTGTCATGGGTATGTAAGTGTAGTGTCTGTATTAGAGGGTTACCGTTATTTAAAATAGCTTTTCTGCTGAACAAGCTGTGGGCCAGATCTGTACTGTACCAGAGCACCCTTGGATGTGCTTCTGCAATCTTGCGTGGAATGCAGGCTGGTCAGACTGGAAATTCTTAGAAATTAAGTTAAGCTTGTGTAATATATAACCTGTATTTGCCAATGTTCTTATTTTGAAGGTCTGTCGTATCTGCAGAGTTTAAATTTTGAGCGAATTGTCATGTGTCAGCTAAACCCTCTGAAGATTTGTATACCCTCTGTTGTGAATTTGTTTGCTGCCATTACCAGGTACCTACTCATTTATTTCAATTTCAGCTTGATGAGGGTGGGTGTGTGTATCTAAGAACAGCGCAGTATTTAGGAAAGGGGTTTTGTTAGGCATGGTATTACCTAAGACAACTCGTGTAACACTGCCCATATTCTAAGTGGGATAAGATTATTTCTGGTTCAGTTCAATGAAATCCTACAGTACCATGAAACTGCTTTGTGTTGGAGCCAGTATGATTCTACTTGGAGTGAAGTTTACAGGAGTGCAGGGGATGAGAATAGATTCCTTACCCTCTGACTATCTTGAAAACTAGTATCAGTTGGAAAATGGAAGATAGAAGTGATGTTTGTTAAAAAATAACTTCATATTTTAGTACCATTTGAAATTCTTGCTTTCTGTGTGCTAGAAGTGCTTATCTTTATTACCTTTTTAAAGGAAATACCAGTTGGTGTTCTGCTACACAATTATTGAGAGGAACAACAGGCAGTTCATACCAGTCGTTCGGAGTGGTACTGGGGGGGACCTTGTGCAGACGTGCACTAACCCACTCGACAGTTTCTTCCCCTTTGATCCCTACGTGCTCAAAAGGTAGAGTTTAAAAATAATCAACTGACTTGTGCCTTGTAGAAAATAATGAACTAAAACTAAGAAACTGTAAGTGTTTCTGCATTTCGCTTTCTTCCCTCGTCTTTACTACTTCTCATGTTGTGTATTTTAACATTGCGTAATTTAGATTGTCAAAGGTTTGAATTAAGGTTTACCCCCACTGTGACATATAGCAATGAAGAAGGAACGGGAGCTGGCTTCCTGGAAGGTCTAGTTAATATGTTTGGTGGCTTTTCTTTTGGTTTTCCTTGTTTTAAGCAGTCTCTAAAATACTGTATGTTAGCCTAACACATATTTTGTTGGAGCTGTGGAGATGGTGTCTCTTTCTTTTGTTGGGTTGGTTTGGGTTTTTTGCACCTGGAGTGTATTGCTTCTTGATTGGAGACTTCAGCTTATTTAAAATGTCTCACTTTTTTAATGAATAGTGGATTATTTGCAGCTCTTCAAAATGTCTAGCACTACGATGCTTTAATCACTTTTTATCTTCAGAGGGCAACATTCTGGCTTTTCTTTGTCTCTTAAGAAAAATCCATCTCCACAGAAGGGAGACCTTTCATAGAAGTAGAAATTATTAAAGAAGCCACACAATATTAGCTTCTAAAAATTTGGAAGAAAATTATGCTTATTTGCAAGCATAGTGTAGTGATTACAAATACCCAGCTAGAAATTAGGAGACCTGGCTGTATCAGAACTTCTCAAGCAAACAATTGTAATTTATACGTCAGCAAAGTGGAGTTATTTCTTCATGGGATTAATTGGGGATTATATAGGGATTAATTGAATAGTTAGTAAAATGCTACAGAGGATTATCAAAATGTTAAATGTTTTATATTGTACTATTAAAATGTGATACATGTAACTTACTGAATACATTAACTCATACTGTGTTTTAATTCCCCTCTCAGGTCAAAGTTAGTAAAACGCTACAGAGGATTATCAAAATGCCAAATGTTTTATATTGTACTATTAAATGTGATACATGTAACTTACTGAATACATTAACTCATACTGTGTTTTAATTCCCCTCTCAGGTCAAAGAAGACTATTGATCCTTTTTATCAGTTTTGGGAAGAGCTGAGTGCTGAAGATCTAGAGAACCTGAAGAAACCCATTAAAAGGGTAATCTTTTCTGATCAAAATGCAATTCAGCTTTTGCCAGCTCTCTTATCAGTAGCTTCTATTGCAGGATATTTTATTTTTTTTTAGTAGATACAAGTGCACTAAACATATATGAGAAGCTGTGATTGAAATTAGGAGGGTTTAGGAATTGATCCATCCTTGCTTTGAGAGCACTTTTCCCCTCTCTGCAGAGGAGTTAGTTGGGTAGCACAGGACTGCTGTGAACACCTATGAACACTCTCAGAACACGGACGCTCTGAGGTCACTGGGAAATCCACTTTGTAGATATGATTTAGTTCCCGTATTTCATAATGAGAGTACATCTAACTCTCTTACCATTCCAGCTGGCCGTGACGATCATAGTACAACCCAAGTCCTGAGTGACATCCTTCTAAAGCTCCTCTGCAGTCTGCTCACCTTCTTCAGAATGTCTGTCCTATGTCAGATTTTTGTTTGAGTTCTCCAAACACTGTGTTTTTCTTTCCTTCCTGTGATAACACCTAAAAGTACTTCCTGGTGGTGTAGCTTTGTTAACTGGTGACTCTGTAAACTTTCCTGTAGTGTTTTGATTAGCAGACTTGATTATTGCAACATTTCAGAATTTGTTTTAGAAATACCCCTTTTGGCCTCAGCATTCGTTACTTCTGCCAAATCTCAATACTGAGATCTGGAGTATCTTTCTGCTCTCACTGAGCCTTCTAAATTTATGCAGGGTACTTCTGAAGATGAAGATGATGACTTTTTGAAAGGAGAAACGCCTCAAAATGATGGTGTGATTGGAATTGCTCCAAATTCCTACGAGTCCAATACCCGGAGCCCAGTGAGCAGCGTTCAGCATTCATTACTTCTGCCAAATCTCAATATTGAGACCTTGGAGTATCTTTCTGCTCTCACTGAGCCTTCTAAATTTATGCAGGGTACTTCTGAAGATGAAGATGATGACTTTTTGAAAGGAGAAACGCCTCAAAATGATGGTGTGATTGGAATTGCTCCAAATTCCTACGAGTCCAATACCCGGAGCCCAGTGAGCAGCGTTGGCTCCCCTCCAGACTGTTACGTGCCGTACCCTCAGTGATGCGGAGAATCAGAAGTGAAAAGGTTGAAAACTGTGTGCAATTTTTTGCTCTGTAAAGAGACTTTAGCTCAACTTTCTAAACTGGCAAATGCTTAAGTTACTGCATTTAAGAAAAATATTGTTTCTTAATCATTAGATTTCTACAGATATGTTATGATGAAGTCATATGTTGCTAGAAAAGCCTAGAGAATAAATAGGGTGATATTTTATGAATTTCACATTGAAATGGTTTTTATGACTTACAGGGATTTTTTTATAGTTTTTCTGGACTCTTAAAAACTTTTGTTTACTAATGTTTCTCTACCAGTTTTTTTTTATATCGGGGTGAAATTCTGGTCTTTCTTCCTACTGACTTGTGCGGGGACCAGAGCTCCAGTGTCAGTATTTGAACTGTACTCTGACTGATTTGAGTTGGTTTCAAAGTAGTGGTATGGTCCCGCACCAGGGAAGCCATGACTCGAGTCTGACAGCGATTCTTTTGCACACATCTCTTAAGCTTTTCCTATCTGTAGAACAGCATTTGGTAAAGCCACTCAATAGTGGAAGGTGTATTTGGATGAAAAGCATTATCGCTTCTTAAATCTGTGGCTGGCACATGACTTTCCCAGCTAGGGAAGTTCAGGTTTGTGAAAGTGACGGTTGTTGGAAGCGTTGAAAATGACGGAGTAGCTGAATGGTTTGTAGATAGTTTTCTGTGGGGTGCTTGTGAAGCACTCCGAGACAGGTATTTATTTTCAGGATTTGAAGTTTATATGTGAATGCTGAAAATACAAAAAAAAAAAAAATCTTCCCTCATAGAAAGGAAGTGATGGTGTCACTGGTGTCCTTGTGTTGTCCATGTGTCAGTGTAGAGTTTCTCTGCATAGGTTTCTTGTTGTCTGTTCACAATTGCTGGCTTTTAGATTTGAGTAAGAATATAAACAGTGGAAAAAAAATAAATGTTATTTGTGTAACAGTTAGTTGGAAACTTTATGCATTTGGGACTAAACTCTAATTACCCTTCTTTAGAATCTGAACCTGGAGGCTTTCAAGACAACATTTTTATTCAGAGCCAATAAAGATTGATGCGCAAATGGTACACCTTTGAAAAATTTTATACCATCTCTGTGTGTAACTAAGGGTCTCGGTGTAGCCTGGCTTCTCAAAGTTAGGGTGTTTGTTCTGACAGCAGAAATGAGGTTCAGGGTGACACTGCAAAATGCATCAGTGGATCTGTTCATCATTGGATAAATTAAGACTTAGGTTTTAGGTTTAATTTTAGTCCTCTTTACTGTCAGTCCTGAGCAATAAACACAGCTTTCCATCCGTAATAATTGCATTCCCTCTTGCCCTTCTCACAGCAACAGCGACGTCCTCCGAAAGCCGCCTTTTTCTGTTCCTTCACTTCCATGTCTTCAGAACCTTTCCAAGTTGTAATTCCGGGTACATGGTTCAGGAACTTCTGTGTCTGAACAGCAAAAAAAGACAGACATAAGTGACACAGAGTGTAACATTAAAAATGTGTAGACATTGACCTGTCCGTACGCTAAAGGGACGTGCTTAGAGCAGAGATTCAGTTAGGAACGGGGCCGTTTCTGCAGTCCCCTCTGTGCCAGACCTGCGTTGCTCACCGTGATGGCAGCGGCTGAGCGGCAGGTGCTGGCGTGTCGCTGAAGAGAGTTTGCTCTGCAAATACCAGTGCTAGTGGGAGGAGTGCTGATGTGGGGGTGGAAATTTGCCTGACCTGAGAAAAACAAGGTCTCTTTTGAGGAAAGCATCTGCTCTAACTGCTTAGGTGTGTGACAGCTGGGTTGAGAGGCAGAGCTGGGTACCAGGGCTTTTCTGTTGGTGGTGGTGAGCAGCCCTGGCCCCGCTCTCACTGTGCAGGGAGCAAACTGCCGCTGCGCAAACTGCCACTGCCCGGGCTGCGTCCTGCTGCTTGAGTACGGACAGCGGGAGGAAAAATCCCCGGCCCTTATGGAAAAACTGTCGTCTTTGGGCTGGGCTGAGGGCGTGTTGTGGCTGCTGGGGGAGGACGGTGGCCTGGCTTCATTTGTACGTTTGGGACCTTGCCATGGTTACTGCAGCAAACCGGCTCGGAAATAACTTAGGGGTAATCCCGGAGGAGGAGGAGGGGCTGTGCGGCGGTAGCCCGTTAAAATCGTTCCCCGGCCCTTATGGAAAAACTGTCGTCTTTGGGCTGGGCTGAGGGCGTGTTGTGGCTGCTGGGGGAGGACGGTGGCCTGGCTTCATTTGTACGTTTGGGACCTTGCCATGGTTACTGCAGCAAACCGGCTCGGAAATAACTTAGGGGTAATCCCGGAGGAGGAGGAGGGGCTGTGCGGCGGTAGCCCGTTAAAATCGTTAGGCGGTAACGGGAGCGGGCCGCTTT